TCTCTGCGGTATTTACCCCTCTATAGAACAAAGTCCAAATGAAGAATTTTACCTTCTTTGGGACTCTAAAATTCCATATCAAGCTTGCAGTAGCTGAATTAAGCTGAGGAGAAGGGGACGTGAGGGCCATGAAGGCTAAATTGACTGTGAAACGGCCGGATGGGTCCACTTTCCACCATAAAATGTCCCTTCCATTTCCGATAGCTGCACCTTCTATTTTTCCAGTGAAGTTTGCCCATCTATGCATTTCCCTTTCAAAGAGATTCCTTCTGAAACCAAGATTCCAGATTGAGGCCTCTGTGCACCAACAATCCACAATGGACATACCTTTCTTGGAGGATAACGCAAACAAATCCGAGAAAGTAGTGGAAAGAGGGGCAGAATCAATCCATGGGTCCTCCCAAAATCTGACTTGAGCACCCGAGGATACTTTGAAGAAGGAGAACTTTTGAAAAGCTCTAAGGTTCCCTTGTATGTCCCTCCACAGTCTTCCGATAGAAGAACCACCCAAAGGTTTTGTCCACCAACCAAAAGACTCCACACCGTAAATAGTGGCTATCACCCGTCTCCAAAGGCTATCTCTTTCCACTATGATCCGCCATAACCATTTCATTAAAAGAGCATTGTTCCTTAGCCTCAAAGAACCAATTCCAAGACCCCTTTCAGACCCTAAAGGCAAACCCAAATATAAAATAGGAAGACATTCAGCTTTGCAACAAAAAGAATTTGCAGCCTGTACAACCCTTTTGTTTTCGGTTTCGGAAGCTTGGGATAGTGGTCCTCTTCATGGAATATTGTAACTCGAAGGGCATTGAAAGATAAGGAGATTATGGAGCTTTCGGAGCTTCTTTCTTGCATTTCTTCGGTTACTATTTCAGAAAATGCTGATGTTTGTTGTTGGGGATTGGAAAAGTCGGGCCTCTTCTTTGTTTCTTCTCTATGCAAGCCTCAGAGAGCTGATTTGCGGGTTTCAAAAGCTCTTCTATTCTCACTTTGGAGTTCGGGTTGCCCAAAACGAGTTAATATGTTAGTTTGGATTCTATTATATGGAAAGTCAATACAGCAGATATTTTGCAGAGAAAGTCTCCTAAGATGGCTTTACAACCATCCATTTACTTTTTATGTGCAGAAAATGGAGAAAGTTTAAATCATGTCTTCTTTTTCTGCCCATATGCTGCTGTTTGTTGGAATCTTTTTTTCCAGATGTTCCAATTAGTATGGGTGTGGGATCGTGAGTCTGCTAATAATATTTTTCAGATTCTACATGTTGTTTGTTGGGTTGGCGCCTAAAGCTAATCTACTTTGGATTAATGGGTTTAAGGCTATCATCTCAGAATTATGGTTTGAGAGGAATCAAAGGATTTTTTAAGATTCTTGTCGCCCGTCATTGGAATGCTTCAACATCGCCAAATTCAAAGCTTCTCAATGGTGTGTTATTTCCGATATGTTCTCTTCGTATTCCCCTAGTATGATTTGTATGAATTGGGAGGCCTTTATTTCTCCTTTGTAGTCTTGTCTTATGTTTTATTTTCTTTTTCTTGCTTTCTCCTTCGGGGGTTTGTATCTTTGAACAATTTTGTTCCTTTTCATATATCAATCAAAAGTTCGTATCTTGTTAAAAAAAACAGCAATTTTTTAATCAATTGTTGAAAAATGTAGTAGGAAATGGTCTTTTATAACTGTTTTCTAAGTCCTATATTACAAAATAAAAAATAAAAATGCAAGAGAAAACTCATATAAACTCGCATAAGAAGAAGAAAACAAAAAAAAAAACACCAAACATCCAAAATTGTCAACATCAATCAGAAGGGCGGAGGTGAGCAAAATAGAGTAGAACCACCAAGAAAATTATCAAAAACCCACATGAGAGGAGTCTATGAAGGACGGACACTTTAATTTGGGTAACATGTTCGTGTCCAATACTGTCGGACACTTGTTACCCCAATTGACATGTGTCAAACACTAGTTGTACAAATTAAATACAAGTCCAACACTTGTTATGCACATGTCAAACGCTGGCCAGGCATAATAAATAGATACAAATAGTAATATTAGACAAAATAATAACTTTTGAGAATGAAATACATCAAACTTGTTTTTTATCGTATAAATGCATAAACTTATTGACTTTTTTAATAGACGTGTCCTTGTTGTATCCATATCCTAAAATTTTTAAAAATAAAGTCTAACATTTCTGCAATATATCGTGTACGTGTATGTGTACATGTATGTGTATGCGTCCATGTCAGTGTTCCTGTCACTGTCTGCATTTTTCATCATTAACTTCACTGGAAGGAAGATACTATTGGGGAACTTGAGATGGTCTAAATGAACATTCTTGTAACCTTACCACTCTGAAGACTAAGCTCCTCTATGGAGAATTCTGATTAGCTACCAGAAACTATAATAAAAAGGAGGGGTCTTACGCCTTTTAACATTTTGATTCTTCTGAGGGATGGAGAAAGTCACATTTTAATTACACCTCAAAATCCAACTTCTCCAAGTTGCTCCAAGCGGTCTTTTTTTCTTTTTGAAAACCATATTCAATAACTCCCAGGAGAACATACTGAAATATTTTTTCCAAATCAATATTTACCTATAGGTTTTCTTCCTCCTCACCAATCATCAACTTGCCTCATTAAGAATAGCATAGGTAATATGCATTCCACATAGGTGACCTATGCATTGTGTCAAAGAGGACTTTTGCTAGAAATTTATAAAGACTTGAGACCAAAATAATTGGTCTGAAATCTCCCTAATTGCAACAGTGTTTTCTTTCTCTCAATAAGTTGTTTCTTTTCATTAAAGAAAAAAAAAAGATTTTTTTGAGAACTCAGTGAAAAAAACATCAAGACAAGGAGACTTTATGTCAAATATTTAAAGAGGAGAATACACCTAACGCGGTGTATGTGTGGAACTACTAGTTTACAATGTTCATGCATGATCAACATGTCCATCAGCTACCATTATTCAAACAGCATGCTATGCCACAGGAAAAAGAGGTAAGAAGTGTTACCACAAAGTCCTGATATTCCACTATGCTACCAGCATAACCACGACTGATGGTAACTTTGAGGACATATCTAGGAAGGGAAATTCAGAAAACACCAGACCATGAAAATCTCTTAGTTCACAAGATTTTAAATATTTAAAATAGAACCAGAACAAGAACATTTACCTTTTAACACATGTCCAAAATATATAAATAAAAGTCAAACTAAAGGTCAAGCGTCAATAAGAAGTAATGCATAACCAGCGCGAAGCTATAAGCATTCAAAAAAGAAGCCACCAGAAGATGATGACCACATTATTAAGAAAGATCTTAATTCCAAACGACTATTTACCTCAGCCTCACATTTACCCCATTATATGTCTCATATGGCATTTCAACTGTAGAAAATTCAAATGGGTACGTCTTCCTTTCGTATATTTCTCCCGGAACATCCAATTCGCGAACTGGAAAAAACAATAAAAGTTCAGTGCTGAAGAAGACATTACACATGTACGATAACAATTATTCAAAAACCGTCATAATGCATGCATCAAGGACAATGAATTTTAATCTGCCTCCCCTTGCACTCAGATAATATTATTTCTTTGGAAACGAAAGAGGTCCAGACAGTGACAAGAACGAACACATATAATACTTACCAAGAGAAGTAAAGTCATAAAAATTGCCTCTATCAAAGTACATCTCTGCAAAAAAGAGCATACAAGACTAACATCAATTTCTCAAAGAAATAGAAAGTATCAGTTTCTCAAAGAAATAGAAAGTATCAATTTCTCAAAAGAAAAAATAGAAAGTATCAATTTCTCAAAGTTTGATGCCCAAAAGGCACATAATTATTGGCACCTGGTAGCCTCATGGTAAAGATATTAGCACAACCAGAGTATATATAAAGAAATGTAGCCACATCCTCAAAAAAGAATTTAAAAGAAAAAACCCCCACAAAGCTAGACGATACATAAAATGGAGTGATTTGGTGCTAAAGAGAAACAAAGCCAATATTAAAAATGTATATTTTGACAACTAAAAGAAAATTATCATGATACGGAAGCAACAGAAGTGCACACCAATTTGACCGAGAAGCTCAATTTTAACACCATTGTGGTCAACCTTCTTTCCTTGCAGAGGATCTATAGTTATCTGAAGCATGATAAGAAAAAGGGAAGTTGGAATCCAACAATCTCCAATAAAAATAAATAAATAAAGTTCCCAGTAACTTCACAAAATAATTATACCTTCCCAGTAATATTTTCTTGACTCTGGAAAAGGGGAACCAAAACCGTCTGACCATTTTCCTTCTTTAACGGAACCTAAAGAAACAATGCATTTTTAAATAAAAGACATAAAAAAAATTAACTTTATTATGCAAAGCATTATGCCTCAGCAAAAACCATTGCAAAACTCAATAGCTTACACAGATAATACTCAAATTGTCAAAAGATTACACAGATACTACCTGTTTTTTATTTCAAAAACTCATCTGAATGAGAATTGGAACAAACATTTATTTTCTCTCCTCATTCATCCAATGATCTTAACTACTGTAAATGGGATACCTGCTTGCGTGTTTTCCCATCAGAAAATGTGATTGATATGTTGCAAGATGGCTTAAAAGCTCCAAGCAGGTAATTCTGAAATATCAAAATAAAATGTTCAAAAGTATGATACCATCTCATCAAAATGCGTGCAAGAAATATTTTAAATACATAAATTAATAAGATAAAACCAAAATCAAAGAAATAAGGTAACTCTGAAATCTATTTTGAAATTATGACTCTTTTGATATATGCCACAATTGGAGTACTTTCCTGTAACTCCTTTTGGCAGTTGGGTCAACCCCTTATTTTATACTTTTCATATTCCAATGACAAAATAATTTCCTTCTCATAAATAATAAATTACAATAATAAAAAACATTGGCATGCATAATTACTATAAATACTTAAATATATATTACCATAATGGACAGCAGAGAAATAGAGCTCCCAAACCTGACTCAACCAACCTGCATACATCCAAGTTCAACATCATAACTTTAATACTGCAATCACAAGCTAAGTATCCGTTACAGTCATCTCTACTGGAAACCAAAAATCATAAGTACTTTAACATTCTTTTTTTATCTAAAAGCAAATCTTTCATTAAAAAAAACGAAAGAATACAAAAGGGCCTAAAAAATGACCGCCCAAAGAGGAATCAAAGAAAAAACCTAAACTAACAAAACAAGAAATTGGCCCAATTCAAGAACCAATTTGGCAATGATACCAATACCGGTATGTATATTTGAACCATATCCCACGTTTAAAACAAATACAGCATGAGCTCAAAGTTGAGTTTTTTTAGGGGCTATTCGGGAGTGTTTTGAAAACAAAATTTCAGTTTTTAGAAAAGAAATATTTGTTTCAAGTCACCCGTACCCAACCTTCCTCTATCAATATCCCATTTGACCCTGTTCCAGTTTACCAAATGCCAACCAATATTCTCCTTGTTGGGCATGGTAAACAAAGAAATCTAACATATGTGATGGTTTGAGAGAGAGTCCTGCATAAGAGTGAGACACTCATCTTCAGAGAAGATTGCATTCTTCCATTTTTTGAGTTAGTTATCTATTCTATTGGTAATAAGATCCCAAAACGAAGATGTAAAGGTTTTACAGAAAGGGGAAGACTCAAATGAACCAGGCTAATTTCCATGAGAACAACCAAGGCTAGCTACAGCTACAGAGCTACTGAAGCCTTGGTAATGTAGTCATCACATTTAATTTTCAAAAGTTAAAACTTTCCATAATTAACATCAACGCTGTAAGCTTCTTCAAAGATCCTGACGACATTAAAAGGATTGCTTATAGTTGTGGAGAAGGGAGAAAAGAATCAACTTTATATGGTTAACAGAGACTAGAGAGTTGCCTCCCAAATCAAAACCCTTCATTATCAAGCCTTTAGAAGTGCACCATGGGAAAGAAGTCATTTATTGTTTTATATTGAGATTTTTGCATGATTGGAATGTTTAAGTTGATTGTGTAATGGGGAATGGGGATGGAGAATACTTCGTATGATTGAACCATTTGTTGGGATCCTTCAATTTTAGAATGATGATCAACTGCATTAACTTTAAGGCAACCGCAAAACTTTTAATCAGGCTATTTTATAGCGTTTTTTAAACGTTTCACAGATATTTTAATGTCTTGCATTTATTCTCAAATAATCTTATTTATTTGCACTTTCCCTTTGGTTGTTTAGAAGATGGAGCACATAGGAAGAAGTCAAGTCAATTGCATAGTTTCAATATATATTTTTTTTTTTCACGAGGCAACTGCCTGACCCCACAATGCGTAAGCTGGCCCGGACACTCACGGATATCAAAAAAGAAAAAAAAANCGAGGCAACTGCCTGACCCCACAATGCGTAAGCTGGCCCGGACACTCACGGATATCAAAAAAGAAAAAAAAAATATATATATATATATTTATTTATTTAAACAATAAACAAAATTTTCATTAATATATGGAAACATAAATCATTCAGATATACAAACTCCCAAAGGGATGAAGTGCGTAAATGAAATAAAAAAATAGTACGAATAAAGATAAAGAAGTACAAAGAAACCAGCCAGCAAACAAGAAAGCTAAACAGTAGACAAGAAGGCCTTCCGATCAGAGAAAATCATGCTAGGGCCTAGGAAAATAGTTAGAAAAGAGATTGGATAGAACACACCATTGAGAAGCTTTGAACTTAGCAATATTGAAGCTTTCCAAATCCGTTCTTCTTTTCCCTTCAAAAATTCTTTGGTTTCTTTCGAACCATAACTCAGAGATAATAGCTTTAAATTCATTCACCCACAGGAGGCTTGCTTTGGGGGGCAATGAGGGCCCAAACAAGAGCTGAAATGTTTGACTTTGAGACATCCCTATCCTTTACCCAAGCAAAATTAAAGGCTTGGGAGAAAAGTGCCCAGCAAGATGAGACATATGGGCAAAGGAGGAACAATTGAATCTGATCTTTACAGTGAGCTGCACAAAGAGCACGCACTGACGGCTGAAGCAACATGTTGGGAAGCTTCTTTTGGAGGTTTTCTGTTCTGTTGTATTAACCTTTCCATTAAGGAGAATGCATGTTAAAACATTCACTCATTTTGGACTGCATGAGTTCCACAGCTTTGAGCAATAATCCTTAGGCAATGAAGAGGAAGGAACTCTTGGTCTCCATAGTGAGTTAACCGAAAAAGACTCTGAAGAATCTAGGATCCATCTCAATTGATCCTTTTCATCACAAAGAAGAATCGGATATAGGCATGACAAAAAAGTTAAGTATGAGGACTTTCTTATGGGAAGATTATTCAAACGGCAGGTTGAAACATTTGGTTCGTTTGGATGTTTCTTCTCTTTCTTGTGAGGAAGGCGGTGTGGGTGTTGGTAATCTTATAAGGAAGAACAAAGCTTTGCTAGCTAGATGGGGTTGGCGATTTAGCAACGAGCCTCAAGCTTTATGGTGTTTGGTAGTGGCAAGTATTTATGGAATTAATGAGTGTGGTTGGAACATGGCAAAGAGGTTGAATGGCTGCATGAGCCGTCCTTGGTTCAGCATCAATAAACAGTGGCTTTTGGCAGAAAAATTCTCTAGATTCAAAGTTGGCAACGGTAAGAGAGTTCTTTTTTGGCATCATTTGTGGTTAGGAGATTCTTTGTTACGCTTACAGTTTCCCTCTATTTTCAATCTCTCCTCGAGTCCCTCAATTACTGTTTATGAACCGTGGGACAGTAGATCTTCTTCATGGAGTTTGGAATTGAGGATAGCTCTGAAAGACCTTGAAATTGAAGAGTTTGCCAACCTCTTGGAGTATCTTTCTTCTTTTACTCTTAGTGAGGAATAAGATGCTAGGCTTTGGTCCCTGGAGTCTTCTGGTTCTTTTTCAGTGAGTTCTTTATGCAAGTATAAAAAGTTTCATTCCAATTTTCCTAAAGTTTATTGTGCCTTTATGTGGAATTCAGGGAGTCCAAAAAAACGTGAGTTTCTTAATCTGGATTTTGCTTAATGGGAAAGTCAACACTGCAGAAATTCTCCCAGAAAAGCTTCCTAATTTGGCATTGCAGCCCTCAGTCTGTGTTTTATGTGCTGTTCATACTTCATGGTGAATTCCAGAATCATGTTTTCTTCTTCTGCCTGTTTGCTACTGTTTATTGGTCTAGTCTACTCAACATTTTCAACATCCTCATGGGTTATGGATTCGGAAGCTTCAAATAATGTCAATCAGCTGCTATTCGGTTTGAAGATATAATATAAAGCAAATCTAATGTGGGTAAATGGTCTAAAAGTGATTTTGTCGGAATTATGGTTTGAAAGAGAGTTTTCGAAGGAAAATGTAAAACGGCCTACGAATGCTTCAATTTGGCCAAGTTTAAAGCTTCGCAATGGTGTGCTCTTTCCAACTTATTTGAGTCCTATTCACCTAGCATGATTTGTTTGAATTGGGAGACTTTTATATTTCCTTTGTAATCGTTCATTTTCTAGTGATTTGTTTGTTTTTCTTTTCCCTTCTTTTCATTTTCACTATTTCACTATTTGGGAGGAGTTTGTATCTTTGAAAAATTTTTGTTCCTTTTTATAACTTCAATGAAAAGTTCGTATCTTGTTAAAAAAAGAGTTAAGCAATCTTCCAATTCCTCATCCTTCAACATTCTTATCAGGAAGAGACTGTATCCCCAGCATCATGGACTGATAGAAATGGAGAATAGGAGACTCTAAAGAGAAAGGAGAATCTAACCTTTAGGATCATGTCACCCAGCCATCAATGGTGCCATACAAGGATGCCCTTGCCATTTCTTACTTTAAAGAAGGAATGTCTCACCACTAAAGACCACTGCTTCTGAATGTTAAACCATGGACTACATCAGCTGCTAATTTTTTCCTAGATACAATCCAACCAAATCGATCAGTACCATTGATACTTGCAACAACTATACGCCAAAGAGCAGTAGTCTAAATACTGAAACGCCAGCCCCATTTAGCTAACAGCACATGATTTCTTTGCAAAAGCCTTCCAATTCCCAAATCTCCTTTTTCTTAACAAAGGGAAGTAGTGTCCCATCTAACCAAGTGCTTCAAAGAACCCATCTGATTGTCTCCCCAAAAGAAAATTCTTAGGAATTTCTCAATCTGATTACTAATGTGAATTGGCATTTGGAAGATTGAGAGAAAACACAATGAAATGCTGCCAAGCACTGAAAGACAGAGTCAGACTTCCTCCCCGAGAGAGCTGGTATTTCTTCCATCTATCCATATTTTTCATAAACTTTTCTAAGATGGGACTCCAAAATCATTCCTTTTAAGGTTTCCACCCAAGGGCAGCCCCAAGTACATAGGCAGTCTCTCAAACTTACAATCATACATTTTTGCAACCCATGCCACTTCCAAAGAGTCACGATTGACTCCACATCGAGAAGACTTATCCCAATTTATCTTTAGGCCCGAAAGTCATTCAAAAGCCTTAATAGTCTCGAACATGTGTCGTCTACAAATTGTAAATTGGAAATATGAATGAACCCGATTACTACCAACAACGAAGCCTTCAAATAGTCTCTTCTCATATATGCTGTCCAACAAGCTGTTTAAGACATCACTTAGTAATAAAAACAAGAAAGGTGAGAGGGAGCCACCTTTGTCTTATACCTATTAAACCAATAATTCTTCCTCGAGGCCTACCATTAATGGAAACTAAAAACTTGGCTACTCTGATGCAACCATTGATCCAACTAATCCATCTGTTCCCAAATCTTTTTTCGAAGGACAGTAATCAAAAAGGCCCAATCTAAGAAGCACGGACACGGATGCGGGACACGAGGACACGGCGATACGTCAATTCCTAATTTGACACAGACACGTTGGGGATACATTTATTTTTTTTAATATTTTTTAGGATATATGTAAATTTAACACGAAAAATGCTAAATACAATAAAATGCGTACATCCTTCAACAAAAGTTACAAAACAAAGTTCCAAAGGTCCAATATAGTGACAAAACAAAGAAGGAAGGGACGTAAAAGAGGATTGTTTTTATTAGAGTTTACTTAAGAAAAAAGAAAAACAGAGGCAGGGGCGTCGGTGGCGGCAGCAAGGGCGGGCGGGCGGCGGCGGCAAAGAACGCGTGCAGCGTCATCGGCTTCGTGGGAGAGGGGTGGTGTGTTTTTGTTATCGTGGGTGGGTATTAGGTTTTAATCAATTTTTCTTTTTAATTACTCATGGATAATGGGTCTTTTTATTTGGGCCCAGAAAACCTCCCAGGCCGTGTCCCAGTCATGTCCGATTTAAAAAATAATCAGACACGCCAAAATGCGTGTCTTACACGTATCCGGGCGTATCCGTGTCCGACACATGTCTAACACACATACTTCGCCCAAAAATAAGTGTCCGTGTTTCTTGGGGTCCAATCTACCATCAAAAGTCTTCTCAATATCAAGGTTTAATAGCCATCCACTCTTCTTCTAAATTCTGTAGCGATCCACAACTTTGTTTGCTATTAACACCGAGTCTAAAATCTATCTCTCCTCAATGAAAGCGCTATGATTGATGGAGATTGTGCTGGACATCACTTTCTTAAGTCTCTCAGTGAGGACTTTAGCCATAATTTTGTAAGCGAGGTGGTAAGACTAATAGGTCTAAAGTTTAACGTTTAACCCTTTCCACAACTTCCTCTTTAGGTGTAAGACAAATGAAGGTTTCTTTGATGCAAACATTAATAAGACCATTTCTATAAAATTCTGCAAATAGTCTGACAAAATCCCGTTTCCCCTGCTGCTAAATCTTTACAAAAAAATTTGATGGTAAAGCCATCAGGCCCAGGTACTTATTTTTCCCAAGAGATTTAATGGCATACCAGATTTCTGCTTCTTTAAAAAGCCTCTCTAACCAGCTGCTGTGTTGACTTGAGATTGGCCTCCAATTAATTTCCTTTGGAGAGAACCTTCCAGCACCTTCATTTATATATAAAGCTTCAAAGAAGCTAATAATTTCTGCTTCAGTTTCCTTTTGATTTACAGTGGGACTATTGTGGATATCCTTCAATTTCATAATCTGAGCCTTTCTTTTTTGTGCAACCAAGTATTTGTGAAAAAAACTTACTAATTTCGTCTCCTCTATCAGCCACTGAATCTTGCATTTTTATAATCAGATTTTGCTCCTCCTTTATGCATAAATTCAGCAAGTTTTCCTTCAAGGAACATCTCTTCTAAACCTCTTCCGGAGAAATACCTGAAGGTTCATCAACCTCAACTATTGAAGCTATCTCTGAAGTGATCTTCCCTACTTTCTCTTTGCACTTTTTTTTTTTTTGATAAGAAACAGAGTATATTAGAGACCAAAAAAGGAGCTACAGCATAAGGGCGGGGGCCAAGGTGGCCCTCCCCTAAAGAGCTACAACATTGCAGCTTTCCAATCTCGAGAGAGTAAAGCTATATTGTAATTACAAAAGAATCTCCCAGCCATAAGACTCTGTAGACTTGAAGAGATCACATAATCTACCCAGCCATAAGATCTGTCCTCCAATAGTTTTGATTCAATCAGACTAACACACTGTTTACTTTGAGGCCTGAGTTATAAAATCTAAAGGAAAAAGTTCCCCATACGAAGTCCCCTGCATCAAGAACAATAGAATAATGGTTAGAGGTAATTCTTTCAACTGTATTAAACTTGCAGTTGCTAAACAAAATATCAGAGACAAAGAATCTGTTCAGTGGCGACTGGTATTACTACAGCCCATTTTCGACCAAGTGAACTCTCCATTTGATAACAGGACTTCCAACAGCTCTAAATCTTCAATAATTTTATTGAATTTCCTCGTGCTCGTAACTCTGCCCACTGAAGATCGATCCAAAGTCCACCTTGTAACATTAAAGTCACCTCCAATGCACCAGTAATTATCGCAAAAGCTTGGAATATTCCGAATTTCTTACCAAAGGAGTTTCCTTTATTTGTAATCAATTGGCCCATAAACATTAGTAATAATCAAATTATTCAAATGGGAGAAGGAAATAGAAACAGTTACTGAAATTTTTCCTTCTAGGACTTCAATCACTCAAACTATATTCTCATACCATAGAGTTAAAATTCCACCAGAGCATCCTTCGGAATCAATTTGAGCCCAGCCAACGTCCTTCAAACTCCAAACGGACTTAATGAAAGCTCTATCAATCAGCTGCGTCTTTGGTTCCTGAAGTAGAACCACCTCCGGACATATTTAGTTGAATAGTTTTCTTCACCTTCAGCCTTTTATTAAAATCCCTTAGGCCACGGACATTCCATAAAAGGATTTTCATGCTACATTTTGAATGGGGAAAGAGAGATTTGGACTGCCTTAAAATATGAAAGAATTTAATTCTTAAAGCATCTTGTTGATTGGACCTCAATGATGGGAGGAGTATCAGAGTTGTCTTTCCCAAGATTCGAAATTGTGGGTAAAGAATGTTCTTCAAGTCCAAACAAGTAATTGAAATCTTCACAAAAATAATGCTGAGAAGTCGGTTAAATGTGCTAAAGCTGCTTGCTTATCCGTAGATGTAGGGGAATCTTTGCTGCTAATGCTAACATTAAGTCCATCTTCGTCATCTAAATATAAGCTGATCTTATCTTTCCTCTGCTCATTTGTTGAGTAAATGTTTCCAAGACAGAGGGTTGAATATTTATTAATTTGTGCCGAAATTTGTGCCTTAGGAGCTTCAATATCCTTGTTAAAAGAACCCAATAAATTCTTTTGGGGTAAATCAGTCATAGATAATCTTTAGTTTCAATACTAATGTTTTATGACTATAGTTTAGAAGAAGAAGCCAGTGTAGGGAAACTTTGATGTGCATCATTATAGTTATATCTCAGGCAAACACACCACATAATTCTCATACTTCTCAGTACAATATTTTCATGGGTTTAAACTACAATCCGTTGGTTGATCTTTCAAGATTTGATGATCATAAGTACAGGCAATTCATGGGACTTAAATATCATGGGCAAGTACCTCCAAACAGTTACACCCACCATCAGTCACCGAATTGGATCCATTAAGGGTTTTTCACTAAGCTCAACCATGGGGTCTTCAAAACATGTTATAGAATTCTATGTCAGTATTCCTTTATCTACATGAACGTTATGATACAGGGGTTTCGAATTGAGTATTCACAGAAATCATGCAAAACGTAAGTATGGATGTGCATGGTATAGTTTGGTTCAATTGCATGCCAAACCAAACTTCTGTTATTTTCAATTCAACTGCTTTAATCGAACTGATGTGGTACTGTTAATTTCAATTTGCTTTCAGTTCCAGCCCAAAAAGCATGAATTCAAACCAAAATGAAACAAAAACGCGAAGAAAATATTCCAGTGAAAATTAACCAAATGGAAAATGGAAACGCCTCCAAGCCTTGCAGAAAGCATGAATCTAAAGTCAACATTTCCCCAGACCAATCGAAATCCTACTAGGAGAAAGCAGAAATCAAATATTGAAAAATCACAAAACTTCAATCTTACGGGTTCGAGGAGGAATTCAAAGGGCGATTGGTGGCAAGCCGGCGGCGCTGACGGAGAGAGAGATCGTGAGGGGCGGAGGATGGCGGATGTTCAGAGCTGAAGAAGCTTGAATCTTAGCGGGTGTATCAATGGCGACGCAGAGGGAGGGGGAACTCTGAAGTTGAAACAGAAGGGGCTACGTTTTTTCTTTTTCTTTTTTTTTCCTTTTTTTTTCTCTCTCTCTTCGTTTCTACTGCTAATGACTAACGTGCGACTTGCACGTGTTTTACTAGTTTTTTTTTTTTAGTTTAAATCAAGGTTTTAAAATTTTATGTTGATGGTTTTTTGTTTTTGAAATAATGTTTTTAAAAATATATATATATATAAAAGAGAAATAAGGTAAATTTGAAAGTTTAGCAAAATTGGTTGTAATTTTAGGTAGATCACATGCAGCGACTTAAATTGAAATAGTCATTGGATGTGATTTAAGGCGAAATCATGACCATTGGCTGTGACTTAGACTTCTCTGTGGCGTGGTTCCAGCTTTTACACTTTGGAACCACATTTTCGCTGACGAAAATTGCAGCCAACTTGTCAAATCAACATTTCTCCATGTGGTTTTGGGTGGGTCTTTTTTTTCAAAATTGTCTCCACTGTGGTCCCCTTGAAACAAGTACTTAGTCATCCTTTGATTTGGTTTCGTAACTTCTTCCGTATGATTTTGTCTAGCTCGTTACATTTAGCTCTTAACATCTTTGCAAACTTATCTATAATGTATTAAAAAGTATGGATGTGGAAGAAACATTTTTTGGACAATATTATCCTTCATTTTTTTACTTAATACTATGCATGCCATTCATTTATGCTTAAGTTTTTATTTGACTTTTTTCCCCTTTTGAAACCATATTTCATTTCCTAGGTTATTTTGATATATATATATATATATATATATATATATATATATATAATACTATACATGTCATTCATTTATGCTTAAATTTTTATTTGACTTTTTTTCCCTTTTGAAATCATATTCCATTTCCTAGGTTGTTTATATATATTATATTTGTCTTTTGAAATTATTTTCCAATTTCGTGGGTTGGTTATGTGTTCGTTTTCTTTGATCTGTTTATTATTTTTTGTTTTTTTTTTACCTTTTAAAATTATATTTCAATTGCACTCAATTTTGCACGAGTGTTAAAAGAATGTAAAGAGTTTTTTCCATCATCATTTAATAGTGTTTAATTATATTAAAAGGTGGTAGAATTTTAAAAGTTTAATGATTCTATATAAAAAGACCCTCTTCACTCATTTTCAACAACATTGTGAGGTTTATCTTTTTTTCTTCTTATTCTTCTTTTTTACCCCATTTTTTTCTCTCACGATGTTTTGATTTTTTTTTTGTTTTGCCTTTTGAAATTCTTTTCCAATTTCGTGGGTTGGTTATCGGTTGGTTTTGATTTGATTTTTTAATTTTTTTTTTACCTTTTAAAATTCTATTTCAATTCCACTTAATTTTGCATAAGTGTTAAGAATGTAAAGAGTTTTTTCCATCATCATTTAATAGTGTTTAATCTATACTATCTATATCTATACTATATATAAATGGGGCTATGGAGGAGAATCTTTGTCTTTCATTTTTGCCCTCCACTTTTTAATAAATACCTATTTTACCTTTGAAATTTATGTAGGATGCAACTGTTAGGTCAAGGTATTTGTTGAGAGAAGTGATGTGTTCATTCACATATAGGTGCGATTGAGATTGATAATTATTTATATATAATATAATAGACCGATGTGTTTTTTTTTAGATAGATAAGTTAATCCAAGAGGTGTGATTGATGAAATGATATATTCATTCCCAAATAGGTGTGATTACAAACATCTATATAACATGAAAGAAAACACCATACATAAACTTGTGTATTTTTTCTCTCTCAAAATGTTTATGAAGGCTTTTCTCTTGCAATGAAAATTAAAAATTTTCGTTATTTGCAAGAGAAACACTGGAGATCCAAGAATCCATAAGTTTATTTGATTTGATGATGAGGTAGAGTATAAAATTACATTTTTATATTAATATATTAATGATTTATTTTAGTTTATTAATGTTCGTATTCTTCGTAATATAGACTCTTGATTGTTGCTGTATATGTCTTTAACTACTTTTAAATTCCCTATTTCATGTTTATTTTTATGTTTATGTCTTTATTAACTAACTTGAGTACTTAACCATGAATATTTATTACTTGATTTGTTAAATTAATCATTTCATATTATAAGGGTTTTTGTTTTCCTATTTTGCCATTTAAATTTTCAAAAATTTATTGACAAGAGCAAATTATTCAGGTAAATATGTTTGTTGAGAGAAGTTAATCCATTGGATGTGGTTACATAAAGAAGAGTGTTATCATCCGTATATGGTGTGATCCAGACTATGATATGAAACATCACAATCAAATGGTAGAGATGTATCTATAAAGGTGAATGTATGTTTCTTATTTTGCTTTTTAAGTTTTCGTAAATTCATATTTTAGTTTTTTAAACATCATTTTTAATATATTTGGAAAACAAACATTTAATTCCACATGCATTGCAGGTGATTATTGCTAGTATATATAAATGGGGCTATGGAGGAGAATCTTTGCCTTCCATTTTTGCCTCCCACTTTTTAATATATACACATCTTACCCCTGAAACTCCTACGGGACACGACTATTCGAAGATGCCTGTTGAGATAAATTAATCTAAAAGAGATGCGACTGTTCGATAAAGTGACGATGCATCCATCCACGTACAGGTGTGATTGCAAACCACCTATAAAAGAAAAGAAACCCATGTATTTTTTTTATTTTGTCCAAAACTCATGTTCGAGACACTGTAAAACTTCCTTGAGAATTGTGTGACTGAGCAAAAACAAGTGGTGCAAGTAATTGATAATCATTAAAGAAAATGAAAGTAATGAGAGTTGTGAAAATTAGAGACCTCCATCAGCG